TATGAAGAGTAGGGAAGAAATGATTACTGGTCAGGGAGTTTTTCAGACAAATTAAATCCCTACAAAAACTGACCGTGTGGGTTCCACACTTAAAAGTCCAGCAAAACGAAATGCAGCCGAGGAAGAAATTGCGGCTCATCTGACTCCACTGGGAATGCTTTTATAAACTCTGGCTCAGAAGTTTTGAAAGGATAAATGCTGCAGGATTTTTGTTCATTACTGCTGTTATAGATCAGCTGTTGTTTTATTTCAAAGAGCCCGAAGATGGGGGGGGGGGCACTGTGAGATGCTGTCTTCCAGAGATGGCGTGGCTGTCCCAATCCTGACCTCACAGCTGTGGTCACTTGCACAAGACACTTGACACTCAGGTATCAGCTGGGATAGACGCTCTGGAGGCTCCGCCGCACACTGAGCCTCTGTCGGCAGTGGGTAGCTGCTGGGAGAGGGAGAGCCATTCTTCGCTTTCTTTCAAGAATGTGGCAGCTGGTAGGTTCCCAAGGCTCTGGGGGAGGGCCACCCCCACCACACACATAAGGGCAGTGCCGACTGAACTTGGTGGTGCTCAGAAAACTAAAGAGGACATGAATTTGGGATGGGATTACGTTGGAGGAGGCAGACAGTTGGAGGGTAATGGGAGGTAAATAAGATTATATACGGTACATATATATGAAATCCTTGAAAACAAGAAAAATGTTTGCATGTATGTCTGTGTGCCACTTGCATGCCTTGTGCCTACAGGGGTCAGAAGAGGCTGGAGACCCTGGAACTGGTGTTACAGACAGTGGTGAGTCATTATGAAGGTCCTGGGGATTGAAGTCCCAACCTGTGGAAGGGCAGCCGGTGCTCTAAAACACTCGGTCATTTTTCCAGCCCCCAGTAAGGAAACATTTTTAAAATAATTTCAAAATGAACAGTATTCTAAAGATGCTTTTTAAAGATGTGTTCTTAGAGTAAGGGAATGTTGTCCGAAATTCCTTCAAAGTTTAGTAAATTTATATTTTAAATGTAAAGTCTGTTTTAACTATACAGTATACTACAATGCCTTTGAGGAGGGGACTTTTGAATAGAGCTATTTTTTATACTCCTCCTTCCTCTTTTGGAAGTGGCAAAATACAGAAATATTTATTTATGTCTCCCAAGTCTAGACTTCCACGGGCTCTGGCTATTTAGAGCCCACGGTTGGTGTTTGTAACCCCTGACACACATTCTTCTCTTTCATCTCTGTGATTCCTGACCGCTCTCCTCAGGGCGACTGGCTAATCTTGCTGATATTTCTGGGGCATAGATGGACTCAGAATATGCGACTGAGGAAAACAGTCAGATAGGACCACAGCTCTGGACCTTCCTTTTACCTAGGAGGAGATTTTCTTTTGTTGGTATGGAAATGAGCAGATACCGGATAACCTTTGCCTAGCCTGGGGCGTTCGTGCTTACTCCAGGGAATTTCTTCAGGCTGCTGTTTCGTGGGCTCTCCACAGGAGATTCAAAAGTTCTGTCACCGCTATCGGGATGATCTAGGTTAGCTCAAAAAAGGGAGAGATTCATTCCTTGGCCCCTCTGTCTGGCTCAGTGCCTTGACTGTCTATAAAACAGGAAAGATACTCTCACCACACTGAGGAAATGTTTTATATTTACACAGTGAAACAGGACAGTGGGGGAAGGGACCATCCTCACTTAAAGTCCCAACTCTTTTCCACAACACCATTCTTTTGTTTTATCTGAGCACTTCCACTTAAGGACGCTCAAGAAGAAAGGCTATAAACTGGCAAGCACTTTCCTCCTGCGGTAATAAAAGTCAATCAGAATGCTTTGCGACCTTATGCCAGGAGCACATATCTCCTTGCTCAGGTAAGTTGCTGTGGAGAAGATGAATTCAGAGCGCAGTTGCCACTCCCAGGGTCTTGAAATAACCAGCAACAATCTGCCGCTGCTCTTGATCTCCTCTCTAGAAAACTCAGACCTTCACCCACCACATTCTTTCTCTCCACACTTCTTGCCTCTGTCAACATTGCCACCACTTACCTGGTTACCCAGTTACATCCAAGTCACAGAATGGTCTACCATGAAACCCAGTCCTCCAGGGCTACCCAACTGGTCTACCCTGAAACCCAGTCTTCCAGAGGCCGAACAACTGGTCTACCCTGAAGCCCCGTCCTCCAGTGGCCATACAACTCTCAAGAATGCTCAGATTCAGGCGGGAACTCTTGAAGCACCAAAGCCAGTCTTCGATGGGGGGAAAACCATATGCTCCTGCAGAGACTGTCTAATGCTTCATCACTTCGCTTCACCCAACTGTCCCCAAAATAAACAGAGGGAGACTCAATAGAGCTTATTACCTAGAAAGGAGCCAGGGAGGGAAGTCACATGACGACAGTATAGTGCTGAAGAAGTGAGCTCATCACATTAGAACCTGAACATGGGCAGCACCTTTCGACCAAAACCTCAAGTTCTATTAAACCATAAATCTCACGGATAGGGTCACTTAGATGAATGTCAACCTTGTATCTTTCTCTGAAGAATGGGGGCACTTTTCAAACCTTGCCTTGTTACATCTAACAATCTGAAACACTGTTTTTCATTGCTGGGTCAATGGGAAAGCTAAAAATAAGGTGACATCCTAAAGAATTAATGAAAACATTATATTTTTTAAAATGAGAAAACCGACTCACTAATATTGCAAAATAAAACCAGTGGTGCAAAAAGAACCCAGGCCAAATCCATCCGGAAGTAACGGATTCCAGGGCAGGTGCTTCTGCCTCTGACTTCTGAATGGTCATGTATAAAGCTTCTCACACGATCCAACACAGTTCAATACTCTATTTGTGAAAATATCCCCCAAATACAGTCGAGCATCTTACATGAATTATGAAGATGATTTTTACTAATTACCCCTCAAAAATAAGTCTTTATCTTCCCAGAACTCTTGATCTCTAGGGGGAATTACATATGGGGGGGGGGTCACACTGACATCCCTTGTTCTATTGAAACTTAACCCCTTCAGTGCCTGCAGGGTGGAGGTCCACAGTTTGCTCATGAACCTTGCACTGAGAAGAAGAAATGCCTTGTCTCCAATGGGCAGGACCCACCATGCATAGGGCCCCAGAGAACACGGCATTTGTTTGGCGAACGTGCTGCAAAGGCGTTAAAGAATTTGCACCTAATTAGAGGGTGACAATGTTTAACATATGTGCACACCCCAAAAGCTATCCTTCTCAAACACAATCCATGGGCACTCAATATTAAGACTCCATATCTCACTTACTAGCAGCAAGCTAACCCCAAAGCATTCTATCCCTGACTAAACCCTGCACGCTCCCTTTTACCTCATGCTATCTGTGTCTTGATGCAACTCAGGCAACTGTGTGTGATGTTCAAGTTCCTCTCAATGCCCCTGGGTCAGCAGAACACCGAGGCTGGGCATGCCCAGCACTGCATCTGGAGCATGACCTCCTTCTACTATGATTGCTTTCTCAACATCACTTTTATTTCAACCAACAAATAAAATCAGCGCGTAAAATTGCACTCCCTCCTAAGCAGTGTGAAGTGAATTTTTTCAGGTGGCTTCAACAAAACCAGAGGCCGAGTCTACCACAGGACCCCGTAAATTACCAAGCATGTGGTTACGCTTCAACTTTTGTTTCTTCCTGTCGGTGCTCCTTCACCCCTTCCCTTCTCAGGACAAGACTTGGTGCTTCTTTGCTTTTGCCCAAGAGGAGCGTTGGAACAACAACACAAAGAGCCCCTGGTGAGCATACGCCCTCAAGGATGCTCTGAGATAATTTTGGGGGCCTGTGACTTACTAGGATTACAAATATCAGACACCATCACCTCAAGCACCAGAGTCTCTCAGATCTTTGTCTCTCCCACCCTGGTCTACAGGGTGGGAGCCCTGTGGGCTATGAGTCTATCAGAAGATGAACTCAGTGTGTACAATGATGGCTTCCACGTGGGCCTGCTGTCTTCAACTTTGAAGTGGGCAGGAAATCAAAGAATATTGATGAAAAATAGCAAATAAGTCTGTGGCTAGGGAAAGGCGTTAAGTCGGGGCAGTGTGGCATGCAAGACTGAGAAAGGCGTCTCGTCCTGAGATTTACTCTTGGGGTGTCCTGGAAGATTAATAGCAGAACGACAAAAATGCCAAACTGACAATAACCCAGAGTTAATTATTCTTGAGATAATTTCTAAATTCAGAAAACCAGTTCTCCCGGTGGTGATTTTTCACATTTTAAATTTTACAACAGTCTGTGGGTGTCTGTGTAATTGAACCTTGGTATAGAAAATATCCATGTGTATATCTGGATAAACAGATGAAGCAAGCAGATGTGGTTACTCCCAAACTCTGCTATTCGAAATCACACAATATTTCATTTCAGAAAGTCACAGAAAAAAAAAACCTGAAAATGCCATCAAGCAGTGTTGGCAGCCTCCACAGCAATCCACTGTTTTCTTGATGTGTCTCTCTAACCACTGATAAAAACCCTTTGAAGCGGAAGAGTAAATATTATCATGTGATAGTACTTGGACCCAACTGGGCAAATACAACTGCATTGTGTTCCGCTCTGGGGGCTCCGGGCCTGTCACACCACGCAGACAGGGTTGCTATGGAAGAACCAATGTGCTTATTAAATGAGCCCAGGAGCAGGTCAGGATACATCTTGGCTCTTACAGCGAGCCACTTCTTAATCCTCCTCACGCAGACACATGAAGTGTTAAGGGAGAAATACCGGCTTAGAAAAAGCGTTTCTGTGGCGCTTGGAAGGTAGAGAGTCACCACAAATAGGCCACCACGGGAACCCTCAACTCTCGCAGTTGGCTGTTACTGCCCCCTTTGACAAGCTGCTGCAGGATGGCAGAGGAGGGTAGGGAGAACAGCAGGGCAAACCCGCTGGGGGCATCCCCCTGCGCCGCCAGGCCAGGTGCGGAGCCTTACACCGGGACACCCCTAGGCAGCATCCTAGGGTGGGGCGCAGCTCCCCGCAAAGCACCCCTCAGTGGCTCACCTTGCCCGGGAGGGGTCCCGGCAGCAGCAGCTTGAGAGCCTGCCTCTTCAGCTCCACCAAGCGGGCGTTGCAGTTCTCGCACCAGACGCCGCGGTCGGAGCCGGGGGAGGAGCCGCCGCCGCTGCCCGAGCCTGGAGATCCAGTGCCAAAGCCCGGTGAGCCGCCCAGGGAACCCGGCGAGCTGGTGCCGATGCCCGGAGATGCGGGGCCCGGGGAGCCAGTGAAGGAGCTCGGGGACGAGGTGCCCGAGCCCGGGGACGGGGTACCGGACGAGCCGAGCGCAGAACCCGCGCCCTCGGGGGTGGGCCGGCTCCCTGCGCGAGACTCCTCGTATGCCTTGCGGTACCAGCTCTCGGGGGAGAAGGGCGCGGCGGGCTTGGTGGGCGAGCACACTTCATTCACCTGCGGGAGAGACAAGCAGCGTCAGACCCGCGAGCTGAGCCTGGAGGGCTGGGGGCAGCCGTCCTGCCTGCACTGCTGCGAACCTGCCCTCCATGTAGCTCCATCCCTCAAGTAACCTGTCCTTAGGCGAGTCCGGTCCCACGCACCCTCCCCGGGGAGACCGCACACAGGTTCTCCTCCATTCCTCCTGGGGTCAGTAGAACGGCTTGGGGTGTTTGGGTGTCCTTCGGTTTCTGCGAGAACACCCAGAAATCCAAAGCCCCGCTCTTTCAAATCCGGTACCCACCCCCAGCAAGACCTAGATACGCAGTCCTGGAACACCATATCCAAGGGGTGGGTGACTGTGACTTCTAGGTGTTTACTCATTCGGAGAATAGCCCTCCGGGTCCCGCAGGTAAATGAAAGTGGCTCCCCGCTCCTGGGCAGCGAGCCCAGGGAACCGCAGAGGGATTCCTGGGAAACGCTTCCCTTAGGTTTAACTCTGCCTCCGATAGTGCAAAAGTTATGGGTGCAGGGAAAGGGAGAAACCGGGGACCAAAGACATTCCCAGAGCCAGGCGAGCTGCAGATCCACCTTCACGCATGCATGGCCCCGCCGGTGGAGAAGCCAGTGCCACCCGAGAGCTGGGGGGCCGTGAGCCCGCCTCTGGTTCCCGGGCAGCGGGAGCCCGCCCCGATGGGTCCCTGGGAATGCATCTCCCCGTGGACGCCGCCACAACTTACCCCGTATTTCTTGCCCCTGGTGGAGACCGCAAGCCTCTCTTTATTTCCAGCTACCGAATTCATGGTGGCTCTTCCAGAGGAAAGGGTCTAAATGTTCCCACAAGGCTACATCCAAAAGGTTTGCCAACCCAGAAAGCGTCCCCCCTCGTGGTAGGGGTTGGTCCTCAAGTCAAGATTTCTTAATGGGGGTTGGGAAGAGGAAAAGCAAATGGACCCCAGAAGTCCAAATAGCACCAATTTGCAGGAAGGGTTGGAGCGCCTGGTGGTTCTCAAATAATGGGTTTCCTCATCTCTCTGCCTCTTCTAACCATGCGTCCTCTCTTCACCGCCACATCCAGATCGCTGGCATTTTTCTCCGCCCGGCCAGCGCGTTCTCCTCCAGCGGGGCCGAGAGGGAGGACGACGGCGAGGGCGCAAGGCGGCTGCAGGGAAGGTGGGCGAGCCCTCGCCGAACCGAGCCGGCGGTGGGAACTTGCCTTCTTCCCCGAGCTCGCTAACTGAGTTCAAAGAAATTCTCCCAAAATATAAGGATCCAGCCTCGGGGAGGAGCCTCGGCGTGTCGCCGAGCCAATATGCGCCGGCCCGTTTTTTCTCCTGACAGTTGCGCGCAGGGCAGGGAGAGGACGGCTGTGCGCGGCCGGCGAGCAGCCCGAGATCAGGACGCGCGTGTGCACCCGGGCTCAGCACGGAGCCTAGGGGACCGCGACCCTGCCGCCTCGGAGCCCGCCCGGCCGCCACCGCCGTCCTCTCCCTGCCCTGCGCGCAACTGTCAGGAGAAAAAACGGG